GGATCCCAAGCTTTGGTAGGCTGGCCTTCAGTGTCAACGATGGGCGGCTTTAGGAAAGCCCCAATCCTGTTCCATTTACAATGGGTGAAGGGTGGGGGTAGGCACTCAGCCTACGCAATGTGACAGAGCGGTATATGGTAGGTAACTTTTATAAGTCCCAGATTTTGGCCTTCCTTTTCTTCTGTTCCTTTTGCAATGGGGGACGTTTAGGGGAGATAAAGGGAATTAACTTACTTAATTCCTACCAGGATCAAGAACAGCCATCTTAACTCTTTTCTCTGATTTTACAAATGAGGAAATTCATATAGTACATTAGCCATCATTTGGAAGTGGGGTCACCAGTTGCTCATTTCTGTTCTGATTTGTGTGGTGCTATAGAGAAGGAGTTACTGCTTCAAACGGAGTGGGATATGATCCAGGGGAAAAGAGTTGGAAGACTTGCTGCTTAAATGCATTTCCAAGTTATTTGGGTTGATTCTTACAAGACACAAATATCCCCTTGCCTTGAACAGTGCTGGCATAGTAGGTACTCAGTTAATATATGTTAAAGGCATGGAACGTAGTAGCAGTAACAGTGATATTAAATGGTAATAATAAGAATGATAATGGCTAGTAGTGTTTAAGTGCTTTGTACAGCCAGCGATGTGCCAACTGATTTGTATGTATTCTCATTTAATACTTAACATTATGGGAGTAGATGGTATTATCCACATTTTACACATGAGGAAACAGGCATAGACCATTTTAAATAACTTGATAAAACTAGCTAAGTGGTGGAATTAGGATTCAGACTAGCCAGTTTCATTCCAAAATCTTAATTACTGTGTTCAGTTATATATGTGTTTGGGTTTCCTTTGCTGATATTAAGGTAGGGTAGAGAAAAAGGAATGTAAAAAAGGAAAAGTAAGGTACTGAAGGCTTTCTTGGAGTGGACCAAAAGAACTTAAGTATGAATGTTGTGAAAAATGGAAACAAGGGAAAATGAAGTCTGTAGAGCTACAGTAAAAGACTGATCTAAGAG